TTTTGAGAAATTAAATGTTTATTTTATGTAACAATAGTTGTAATCAACTGCTCAAGGCTGATATTGCATGAATAACACGAAAGCCAACATAAAAAAGCCTTTGACTGCTGACAGGAAACTGTTGAAGGCAAATTCTCCGTTAGCGTAGGTCACCGGTGACCTACGCGGCGATTAACGTGTTAAATTTGTAAAAACAACATTTTTTTAAAAAAAAAAAAAACGTTGCCACACACTAGGATTTTCTCCTGTGTCGTGGGTGCGTTTACAAACATACAAGTTCACATACACAATGACACCCAGACCCGAAACAACAATTTGTGGATCACACAAAGTGTTGTTCCGTGCGGGAATCGAACCCGCGACACGTTGCATGGCAGCCGGTTGCCCAGCCACCGCACCAACCGTGCAGTCTTTTAGTTTTATTTTTGTATAATTTTTTAATTAGTTTTTACTTGCGTTTCGGAAGCATTCCGTGTACACTCTGTATAACTTTAGGCGATTAAAATTGAAGTTATTGATATTAAGTATGTTGTTCTGAAATTTTAAACACTTCTATACAACACTATTTCATAGGGTGCGTCCACATCTGGCACATGTGCAGCTCACGAGCCGCTCGCGAGCTGCTCACGAGCTGCTCGCGAGATGCGTGCGTCCATTTTACATTATCATTTATACGAACCTTGTATAAGTTAAGAACCATACCATTACCGTGACTGCACGCACGCGCGCAGCTCACGAGCGGTACATTCGCGGTGCATTCGCTATATGTGGACGCACCCTTACACTAGCTAAAGCTAAGCCATTTAAGGCCTAAACCATGTCGGTCAGTACGTTTACAATCTAGCATGTAGTCACGTATCCTCCAATACTGCAGCCATGTTGTACCTAAGAGGATTTACTCTGCTCACCTCCTTTGAAGGCGTACGAGTATAATTAATAATTTTAATTCATTAGCTTTGTGCATGATTGGTATGATGAAAGGGAATTTGGTTGATATCCAGGCTTATTTTTTGTTGGGACGTGTCTGCTATTTTTGTTTTTGATTTATTTGTAACAGTATTTAGTTCTAAGGCGTGGTTTAGGTTTAAAAGTGGAGTATTCTGAGATTGGAATGTGTATGAAGGGCTATTAGTAAAGGACTGTGTTAATTAACAAATATTAGAATCTTTTCTACTTTATTATACACTAGCGACGCGTCCCGGTTTCGCACTAGTGTTATATGCATGTGTTATATGTACATATAAACATTCCTTATGAATCACTTTATCTGTTAAAAAAACCGCATCAATATCCGTTGCGTAGTTTTAAAGATCGAAGCATACAAAGGGACAAACAGATGGCGGATAGCGACTTTGTTTTAAACTATGTAGTGATATTATTAAGTCAATCATAATCGTATTAATTCATTAATCCAATTAAATGTCAATAGTCTATCACAACTGTTTCCAAAACTGGATCAAATATATCTAGGATAAAAATTCAAAGACTAATTATCGTAGCTGAAAGATTCCATATTCATACCATTATATGTATATATATGAATCAAACCAGAATCAAACACAGACTCAAACAGTTTTAATACATTTATATACCAAAAATTGCTTTGAAAACAGCTTGCTACGACAGTTTACATTAATAAATACATGTACTATACCAATGAATGAACGGCGATAACATTAATAATAGAACAAGTAATAATAACCAATAATATTATTATTATTATACATATTTACTTAACTGCCGTCACCCGTGTTATCGCAGTCATTATGATAAGAAACTCCGATGTAATAATTAGAGCTTATTTTAATAGACCTAATTGTGAATGTAAACTAGAATTGAATTAGTGTTTGATTCATAATTACTGATTATGGAAATGTTTTTTTTTAATAATAGTTGATGGATGCCAGATATTAGTTTTTATAAGATATTAAAAGTACCCTTAACCGACGAGCATGCATGAAAAGATTGATGACTATTGTTGAAGCGAAAGAGGTATGTAGGAATCGTAGTAATTGGCGTTCCCTGGCGTCTCTGCCTACCCCCATGGGAGACAGGCATGAAGTTATGTATATATGAATGTAGTATAAAGTATCTATTTTGTGTAGTTTTTTATAATTACTATGCTTATATTGGTGACTAGCTGAACCCGCATCTTCGTCTGCGTTTTCCTAAAATAACAATAGCCTATGTTACTCCATAGATGTATGTATATTAGCTACCGGCCAATAGAAGTCCCGTCAAAATCAGTCCAACTATTTCATAGATTAGCGCTAGTACAAAAAGACAGATAGACAAAAAATTTTAAAAGTGTTGTTTTGGTACATGTATCGTATGTATAATATTCACATGCATGTAGTAAAAACGGTTATTTCAATATTACAAACAGACACTCCAATTTTATTTATCTGTGTAGATAAAAATGATGTCATACCTACAACTATTCAAAACCCGCTAAAATAAACATCTTACTATATTTATATTTTACCCAATGTAAGAAGTTTTCTTATAACTTTAACTATACAACAACAAACGAAGTATAAAGCACTTAATTACATTATCTAGACAGACATCTCTTTTACAAAATTACAGCCACAAAATACTTAAACTCTCATGTTATAAAGTAAAACTAATTTCCTGAAAACAACAAGTTTCAGTAAAATGTTTGTTTAATTAAAACTATGGAAAAGTTTCGTATGTTTAGCCAACCACGTATTACAGAACTTTGTTCTCGAACAAACATCAACTAGTTTTATTTTAATCAAGAAAAGCGACATATAACTAATCAAATATTTTATTTTTGTTACAGGTAATTGAACTTCGATTACTTCTTTTTGGAGATTTGCAGAAATAAAGGGTAACTTTAGTAATTTGGAAACAAAGAGCAATTTGAAATTAAATTGCAGTGGCCCCAGGATAGTGCCCTGCGATACGCCCCTTTATTACTCTCTATATTCACATTTGTTTACTGTTATTATGATACGTAAATAGATATTTAACGAAATACAAGCAATACAACGAATTTATCAACGTTTCATACAATAGTCAGTTAGAAACTTTATAGCCTTACTGACCGTTCCTCGAGATAAACTTTATCAAATGCATTATCATGTTCGAACAGTTATTTCCCATTATATTCACTTACCAAATGAAATGTTCACACAATTTCACAATCACTTAAGGAAATATCATGAGGGACTGCCTATAAAGGAACCGGATTCGACAACGTTATTGCTTCTGCTTGCCTTTAAAATAATTCAGTGTAAATGCGTGAAGATAATAGTGCAGTCGCGAAGGAAACCATAACAATTATGGCCCGTGCTGTAGGAAATTGATTGGTCCGTCAAATGCACGATATCTCATTGTCTCATATTCATTGACGGGTTTACTCCAAAGATATAAGACATTAAGTCAGTAATGGCGTAATGGATGCTATAAATAATGATAGTGACGGTAGGCTTATAATTCATGAGGTCTGTTTAGTAGGCACATTAACTTGCAAGATGGACAGTTTCTGGTGAAGCTACTGACGATGAATGAGATAAAAAATAAGAGGCTAGTAATGTAATTTATTATTAAAGGTTTTTTGTGTAAGTAAACTCTCGTTAGTTGTGTGGTTGGCTGTGGCTCACGAATTTCTCAATTCGATCTCCAGAATCAAGAAATGTAATTTTTTGATATGGTTCAAATGTTCAAAACATAGGTATGATATAAATTATAACCGGTTAAAACACAATAGTTTCAGCGAAAAATAAGCATATTAATGATGTGTGCAATTTCTTCGTCGCTATTGATTTCATTTAAATTAAATTGCTCAAACAAAATGTATCAAGAAAATTGTAACTTCGAATAACTTCTAAAATATTTCAACACCGTCTTAAATGAACATTTCCTTTCTGTTCAAAATCGTCTTAAGATTTCAAGTCACTGAACATATTAATCCTCTCACCGACTTTAATTAAATTACAAAAGGAATTGTGTCATAGAAAATAATTAATTGGCTAAATTAGGTCGTTGGTGTATACTTCCCAGTCAGTTGGATCTTGACCTAATTTATCTTGAATGAAATATAATATTGGTTTTGTTCACTTTAGTAAATACTTATCTTTAATAAGTATACTTTTTTAATTATGGTAAATTGATTTTGGTTACATTAAAAGGTTTATAGTAACAGATGTGTTAATTATTTGGTGTTTGTTTTTCTGTGGTGTTTCATTTAGTACCTACCATACTTCCTTTGGTTATCTCTTGAATGGGGTATATCAAATTATAATTTCAACCCCACTATGAAAGAGGAGGTGTTTGATAACCCAAAACTAGGCTTTATTTTAGACTTTCTGATAGGATTGAAGAACCACGTAGCACTTTATACGATCTGGGTTGGTTAAAGAATCATCGATTTCTTCAACCACCAGGAATTGAACTTGGAAATATAGAGAAAGTAAATTAGGGATCGTAAGTTATACTTACCTCTGTATCCTCCTTCGAGGAATAAGAGGCGTGGTGTTACAGTATAAGTATTTCAGTTTAATGAGACGCCATTAATATTCGATATGATCTCTGTTGAGAGGCTAAGTGATATTTAATTATAGCTTGCGGGGTTAATTATAATGAAATCGTGTTGTGTTCGACATATTGGCAAATGATGATAGTGGGTGCCTTGTTAGCGGGCGTTCCAATATGTGGAGATGTAGTGATGATATTTATACTGACATGAATTTTGGAATTGCAGTTTGTTACCTGTTTAGGATTGTTAGGGCTTGCGATAATATGGCCGTGTGTAAAGATAACACTATAAGATTGGATCTTGTAAATAGATTTGATCCGTTTTCACATTAAATTCACAAATAAATTTTTTAAGGTAAAATGTTATGAGATTTTGGTCATGGCAAAATTCTCTGTAGCAGAACTATATATCCAAATGAAGACAAATAGGAACAATAATCTTAACACTACCATACGTAATGCAAGAAACAAAACACGTTATGACGCACAACATACGATTTGACCAATCTAGCTGGACAATAGGTATTTAAATATAATACTTAAAATAACGATTTACTGATCTCCTTACATCCTTGAATATATTACTTAACTGACAATAACAGTAAGTCAACCCTAGGCCGCGCGAAACCGGTTATAACAAAGGGCGAAAGCGCCCAAGCTCCGCAGGTAGTCGGCCGACCCGCTCAGTGTGAGCTTTAACGTTAAAGAGTGTACATGTATTTTTTGTGTTTTGAGCGACTTCGAGTAGTTTTTTTCATGGATTCGTCAAATAGAGGTAATTATCTGTATATTAAGATATTAAAATAACCAATATTTTACTTTAACGAATGTGTGGCATTTGTGTAAAAATACATAGAAGATTTCTTATTTTTTTTCCTCTACTTAATTTTGACTTGGAGTTTTACTTGGTAGTCAAACGCAGTCAAGCTGTGATAATAGTCTTAATAGATTACCTGTTTATTATACTTTGATGATATAGTACTCATTACTTGCGATTTTTTGCGATTATAATATATTTTTAATTTTCCTTCATAGATGCCCGAATGCAGCGAAAATTGATATTCGAATTTTGGCATTCTACTCCGGCCAAAGATCGATTAAATGAAGTAATTAACTTCGTAAAGGTGCAGTTTGGTGTTTTAGTTCAAAATGAAGAGCGGGACGAAAAATTAAAAGCATTCTTGAAAAAAGAATGTGAAAAAATTCGCGTCAAATGGGTTCGCAAACAAAGAAGATTAGATTTATTTTTAAAAGAACACGAAGATTGGTTGAACGAAGATTTGAATTTCAATATGCTTGTGGCACCTGAAGACTTATCACAACCAAGCACTAGTGGTGGCAGACCACAGAAAAGTTTTAAAGAAAGTTCCGAAAAGTCAAAAAAAAGAAAAGTGCAACATTTGTTACATAATTACAGCAGCGATGAGTTAACTTTTGCGACGCAAGTAAGTGTCAGAGCCAGTGGGAAGCGAGATGCTGCAACAATAATACAGGAGCTGTCTACATCCTCACCAAAGCGTGCCACCAAGTATAAGAAAGCTCGCAAAATTTTGAATACTCCAAAAGAAAAAAAACCGTATACTCCGGATGAAGCCTTAGCCTTTTTTATATCAAATAACTTGACAGTCCAAACTTATAAAAATATTCAGCAAGAAGCAAAAGAAAGGGGATTCAATGCATATCCTTGCTATGATTATGTGGCAAAAGTGAAGAAGCAGTGCTATCCTCCGGTTGAAAATATAACTGTTACGGATATATCAGCTGAAGTGAAACTGGATGCTCTTTTGAGCCATACTGCATTGAGAATATGCAAAGATATTATTGGAGAAAGATTAGACATAAGTGTATTGAATTACACTTTAATATACAAATGGGGATGTGACGGGTCATCGGGCCATAGCTTATACAAGCAACCATTTGAAGATCCAGATAGCACAGATGAATATATGTTTATCATCTCGTTAGTTCCAATAAGACTCGTAAATGATGAACAGAAGATCATATGGGAAAACCCTCGTCCATCATCACCAAGATTCTGCAGAGTGATAAAATTTATTTATAAGAAAGAAACTGAAGCATTAATCAAAGAAGAGTGCCAAGTAATTGAAAAGCAAATAATGGAGTTGGAACCAACTCGCGTAGAAGTAAAGGGTGTAGCCATCTCCATAAAACACAATTTGATTATGTCAATGATTGACGGAAAAGTCTGTAATGTTCTTACAGAAAACAAATCAACACAGAGGTGCTTTATCTGTAAAGCAACATCCAAAGAGATGAATTCACTTCAACCAATGGTTAGAGAAGTAGATGAGAGCATGTACGCATTTGGCATATCGAGCCTACATGCATACATTCGGACAATGGAATGTTTGTTAAACATTAGTTATCGCATGGACATTCGCGAGTGGCAAGTAAGGGGAGAACAGAACAAGAAAATAGTTAAAAAAACTAAAGAAGAGATCCAAAATAAGTTTAAAGGAATTGGCCTAATCATAGACAAAGTAAAGCCGGGTTTTGGAACCAGCAATGATGGTAACACTGCGCGAGCCTTCTTTTATAATTGTGCCACAACGGCACAAATCACCAACATTGATGAAAATCTAATCCATCGATTTGGCACTATTTTAGCGGCCATAACTTCAGGTTACGAAATTAATACCGAAAAATTTCAAGAATTTTGTCATGAAACCAGAGTCATTTACGTGAATTTATATGGTTGGTATAATATGCCAGCCACAGTGCACAAAATTCTTGTACATGGAGCAAGCATAATAAAAAATTGTATAATACCAATAGGACAAATGTCTGAAGAGGCTTCTGAAGCCAAGAATAAAGAAATTAGGAAGGCCAGATTAGGCCACACAATGAAAACCTCAAGATACAGAACCAATTACGATTTAATGAAGCATTTACTGATATCTTCAGATCCCTACATCACGCTATTAAGAAAACTTCCAAGAAAAAGTACATTGAGACACGACAAAGATGTACTTACTTTGTTAAAAGATTGAAATAAATATTGTATACATTCCATTTGGCCTTTTATTAATCATATTATTATTTTAAATGTAACAAAAAAATCATTCTTTTAGTTCCTGAGTTTTGTCCACCTAGATTTGTCAAATCGTATACTGTGTGACGTTCAAAGAAAAAAATATTCAAAACGGAGACCTCCCATAAATTCAATCTCCCACAACCTACATACAAGATGAAGATTTCATATCAATTTGGAGAAGCCATGTTCACGAACACCAAGCTAATAATTCCATCGCATACTTTCTACTTAATCGTGATAAGTCCATCTACCTTCAAAATTGTGTGTAATTACCAGAAACTGGTAAAACTATACCCACAATGTAAAAGCCAGTAAATTACATCATTACATTATCAAGTGAAGACGGCATTACATGGTATTTACAAGTTTACAGTCATAAAAAAACGGGCAAGTGCAAATCAATGTGGGAATCAGATGTTCTGTATATGAAAATGAACTGTCTACTTTTAGGCGTTACTTCTTGGCAAATTTTAGGGTTCAAAGAAGTTAAGTTAATATGAAACAAAAAGTGTTTTATAAGCTGTGAAAAACTATAAATCCCTTGACACATCATTTTGTTAACGTCGAAAACTGCTATACAGCTTTTATATAGTTTTCTTCATTAGATAGAGTGATTCCAGAGAGAGCATTTAGTGTAGGTACAATACGATATTTACAACTAGTAAAATTCAATACTTTTTTCGAACTGTCAAAAACGACAGTTTTCTATGAATTTTGTACGAGATTGTAAATGGTGACGTCACATTTTTTTAGCGTCAAACAGCATACTCATTTATTTGAAAATGCTTAAAGAATATTAAAATTAAGCTGGTCATATAATGAATTTATGAAAATGTGATTATTTTTTAATATCTTATTAAATAGAACAGTCGAAATAAATTATTATTGATTAAGGAATGTACTCAATTAGAGATTGAAACTTAGAAATAAAAAAGGTAAGATTTAACTTGATAGGCGCTTTTTAATTGCTTCTTGTTTACGAATTTAAAACGACGATTTGTGACAAGTAGAGAGACAAAGAAAGTTCAGTTTTTCCTTTTGAAGCACCTACGGGTCTCTAAAAACATCCGTTTTGGAATTACACAAGAAAAAATACGGTCTCTTCCCGTCATTAAGTTGTTAGAAACAGCACTTGAACTGGAAAATTACTTAGAGTACTTGATGATGATGAGAACCTCGTTAGTCTTGGAGACAGAATACTGAGCGTGAGACTTTAGGTTCAAAACTAGAGTTTTTTTAATATATTTGATCTCGCCTGGTGGTAAACGATGATGCGACCTACGATGGAGCACGTCGACCCATAAGCAACCTATTCACGGACAAGATTCTTAGTAAAATTCAGAAACAAAAACAGTCTTTACCCGAACAATGATGCCTGAAAATGGTCGTCGTTATGTGTGATATACTATAACTATTAAAACATCTCTACCGGATTTTCGAAAAGTGTCTTTAATTCGTAAAAATCAAAACCATTCTTTAAGTTAAAAAAATCTTACAGAACTTTACCAATGTGTATAATATATTTGTTATTAAAGTTACTTATTAACAAAATCAAATATCCTAATTATAACATAGAAACAACCAAACCATTAAGACTACTTATTATGCTTGCTCTATATATCCAGATTTCTGATCTCAAACACACAGCATATCAGTTGCCTGCCAGGGATTTCAATTTAGCAATAGAATTTAAATGACTCCCTTAGGCTGGAATGAGGTATTGTGGTATGATAATCTAGAATCTAGATTGTAAGTACATGATATATAAAGTTAGTGAACTGGTTTCGATAGACAGCGAGGCACCGGAGTATAAACTTGACACCTGTTCTTGTATTAATAGCTACTGAGACCTGGTTACTTATTTGAAACGACCAGCGGCTTAAGCCCAAGTTACCCTGATAAAAAGAATCGTGTACGATTCTGGACTATAAGCTATCTTTATTAAAATTCATTCAGAAGTTTTTGCTAAAATAATAATTATAATTATTGATAAAATTCGTAGAACATCATTTATTCCTACGTAGTCCTTGGAAAAACGATTTGTTTATGGGATAAGCTGGGAAACTAGCTGTATCACCTGATGGTAAGCAATCGGCGTCGCCCGTAGACACCTGGAACACAAGTGCGTCCTGGCCCTTTGGAGATTAGGAATTTAAGGATTGTTGGACATTCAGGGATTGGGGAGTTTGGGGAAGGGGGGAGGGGTAATTGAGCCTCCGGTAACCTCACTCACACGACGAAACACAGTGCAAGTGTTCAAGCCGACCCATTCGTGCCGAAGCATGGCTCTCCCACAATTAAAACCATAATAAAGTTTTATTATATCTAATAATGAAATACTATTACGTACTTGTTAATAAATATTACATGTTATTTAACTTTTGCTAACATTCCGTTGGCGTTGCCTCAATGATTAATGCTAAGTGTAATCTATTGCCTTATTTTTTACTATTACCAACCTTAATTTACAATTCATAAGAATTTATGTCATTAAACTTAAAGTCTAATTTCCTTTAAACACAATCGGCGTCACTTTGTCTCGGAACGTGGCTACCATGTTGTATTTTGCAGTTGCTTTAACTCTTATGACTTTGAGATAGGAGTTAGAATTGCTTGTGTGGTATGTTTTAGTAATGTGGTTATTTGTTTTTTATGCAAGCTCTCTGTAGACTGTATGACGCGTAGTTCTTGTGGTTTTTGCAAACGGCAGACGGTAAATAATTTAGTGATGTAACTCGCTCTACTGATGTGGTTATCGATAAGATTTTATCGATAAAAATAATATAAATAATTTCATTGTGAGTGAAGGAATGTGTCAGTTGTTATTGATTTGTTCTAATATTTTATTTGTTATTAATATTGTGGATGTGAAAGTGAGCTTTTTTAATGAGTTTGAGTTAACCGTTCCGAATTTTGGATGAGATTCTAAAGAAGATTAAATGGAACACTATTTCTCATAAATAAAGTTGTTTAATCTAATAAAGTTCCATTCATAAAATTACGTATTTTTTTATCTAAGGGCAGACATAAACCATCCCTAAATAGGTACAATACAAAAAGAGATTAATTCTCGTCGGTAAAAAGTATTTATCGGCAAAAAAGCTCGTTAGAACAAGTTTCTATTGACAGCATAACTCGTCCAAATATACAATGTGAGTCTTTATAAAGTGCACATGTTGAAAAGGGTGAAAAAAAAAATTATTTTACCGACGGAAAAAATGTCAAAAAAAATCTAAAAAAAAAATTGAATTTTTATGGGCTTTTAATTTTTTTTCTCGGGACTTTACAAAGACTCACACTGTATGTATATCCAGTTTAAAAACGTCCATCCTTCATTTCAAGTTAACATTCACAGAATATTTCGCTCCAAAAAGAAAGTGAAACAAAAGCGAAACAATATTTTGGTAAATCAAAAATAGATTGGGTAGCTGATATTATTGTTGCTTGTTTTTGGCATTCTAAACTTAAACAAATTAACTTTAGATTGAGAAGTAACGGGGCTATGTATAAAATGAAACTAAATTGAACCAAAACATACTGTGTACTCGATACGATAGCTTTTATTTTTCAATGCATTGAATTTTGGTGTAATATTTCGTAATCTGCCTCGCTGGCCGAGTGGTCGCAAGTTCGACTGCCGGTCAAGGGGTGTCGGGTTCGATTCCCGGATCGGGCAAAAGTATTACTGGGTTTTTAAATAATTCTCAGTAGTAGCACGAAGTCTGGAATTGTGCCCGGTATATGGCAATAGGCTCACCCCCTATTACATGGGACTCATAACATAAATAGTGAAAAGTGGGTGTTACATTGTACAGTGGCATAATGTACACCTCTGCCTACCCCTTCGGGGATAAAAGGCGTGATGTTATGTTATGTTATTTTGTAATCATAATTTCATGATTGTAATAAATATCTTGAATTAAGTTATGAAATTGTTGACATGTGGCATGTGGATTCAGCAGTCATTGTGCCGATAGTCGTATCTGCCAATGGCCTCATTGCTAAACGCCTCGATCAACACCTGAGTAGGCTAGCGTTAGATGGTTGGGTTAAGGACCTGATGCAGAAAGCAGTATTTCTGGATACGGCGCGTATTGTCCGGAGATTCCTTTCTTTGGAGCCTTGACCACCGGGAGCTTGGATTTCTCCCGTTACCGGTGGACTGCTTTTTATATTTTTAATTTTTAATTATTTATATAATCACATAGAGGTATATAAAAATATACTAATCCTTATACGGATTACTTAGACTTAACGGGTTGCCGGGTCTCCGGCTCGAAGGGCAGGAGTAGGAACGGGGTTGATTTTAGTCAGTAAGAGTCTGACACTCCGCTCACCCAGGTGGGAAAAGTGATTCAATGTTTCCCCCTTAATAAAAAATGGAATGGCGGTGTAAAAGTAATGTGAAGAAGAATAAAACTATTCTCAACTTAACTTCTAAGACTTTTAACCCTTTGAGTATCGTCATTATAGACACAATTAAAGGTGTCCTCGGGGTGTTTGACAGTTTGATGAAACTAAACAATACACCAACAAGTATGAATGTAATTTATGAACATGTTTACATTTTTCTCTAATGATTATTGCCACAATAACATTAATTATTAACTATAAATCTAATTAACCTTTAACTTGAGATATTGTGAAGATTACACTTAGACGGCAGCACATCAAGATACCCCCACATCATCAATACATTTTAACGGATCTTCAACTTAATGACAAAAGCTTTAAGGTTGATTTGGACTTGTATTGATATTTCTAAGACAATACTAGGGTCAAACTAGTCGGATGTCGTATGTTTTCCTTGTCTATGTTGATATTATATATATTCTCTGCATCACCCAAGGGTCAGACTGGTAGAAAATGCCTGCGGCATTAAGTCCACCCATGTACTTGTTTGTGTGCATAAAGTTTTTTAAATAAATAAATAAAAAATATTATATGGATCAACTAGCGACCCGCCCCGGCTTCGCACGGGTGCAATATGCATGATATATACCTTCCTTAAGAATCACTCTATCTATTAAAAAAAACCGCATCAAAATCCGTTGCGTAGTTTTAAAGATCTAAGC